AACCAATCTGTTGCCTACCTTTCAGCAGGAATGTGGTGCATCCGCATTCTGAGATTGGTGTATGAATTATATGAAGCAGCAAACTCTAACAATGACAGTAATATGTCCATTATAGCAATTTTCTGTGGTGCTTTCAAGTTGCTCCAGTACTTTTGCTGCCAATTTTAGAAATATTGTGAGAAAGACAATTCTCAAACTTCCCCCAGACCTTAAACCCCCACTCCCGAAAAAAAAAATCCGCATGTCAGTTGGAAAGAGATACCGCTAATGTTCTTCAACATTACATTTTCCTGCAACCTATGAGTACCGATACTGGGGAAAAAAGAAAGTGGAGTTATAATGCAGGGCCCTTTTATTTATTCCTAACTTATGAAGCTTTTTACCAACGTTCTGTTTGGAATAAGTCAATAGTTTTGTAGAATTTATTTGGAAATTTACACATAATTTAATTAGAAAATAGGGAAAGCTATTTAAAATGATAAAACTTGAGTTAATAGGAAATTTCAAGTGTAATTGGGACACTACATTCCGAATTCCATCAAATGCCTCCCAGTTCTACTTAGAATTTACTACAACCTCAATTTATCATGTTCTAATAAACTTTACATTGCTCATAGTTAAACTAAATGTAAATTCCCAAATGAATTCCATAAAGATTGCTTATTTGCTCCAAGCACACGTAAACGTTCAATTATTGAAGAAGCTTCTAATGACAGTATAGTTTTTGACATAAGTACTAAAAGAAAAGGTTAGAGAAAAACTGTCAAGAAGGCTAGTCAAGAACATGAAATGTCTTTTCCTCATCATTCAGGTTATGTGGGAAAAAAGGAAAATTTATATAGAAAATAGGTTAAGAAATTATATAATTAGGATATATAATTTTTTATTCACAAAAAATAATGAGAATTAATCAACTACTTTTACAATGGAAACATACCCCAGGTCTGACAGGATGGTGTGACTAACCTACAACCCACAAAGTTGAACCCACAGTATCGGTGCCAGTCAGCCACCAAAAATATCTTGAAGATTGAGAGAGAGCAAATTCATAAATTTAAGGAAACTTAGGCGGTACCATGAAGACAAAGAAAGAAAACTCAGATTCTTACCTGAATGCTATTGATGGCACCAAGCAATAGTAACTGAGTGATGCACTTGCCCCTAATTGTTCCCAAGAGTGGACTTTCCTCTTCTTCTTTACCATCAGGCTCCACAACCTCCGGAAGCTAAAGTAGCATACATCAAGAAAAAGTAAGGGAAATGGAAACAAAATATATTATGTCAGATCAGATGCATGACAGCAATGGTTTCCCAAAAAAAAAAGGCTCAAGATTAGAAAAAGCATCCTGCTTCAACCTAGAGCTCAAATAATTCAAATGAGTTTTGTTTTGGAGGTTGAACAATAAGGTCACAAGAGTACACCTACATGGCAACAAGAGTTCTTACTTCGCAGTGTCCAGATTGTACAATAGATACTTTGCAAAAGGTGGGCCCATTACTACAACCTAAAAAAACATATACAACAGTCTTTCCTCCCATGTAGCCATGTTTGGTAAGGTTATGATGGCACTATGACAACTAATGGTTTATCTTTGATGGTTTTGCTTAGATCATGAGTTGCTAGATTAACAACCTTCTTATAAAAGACCTTAGAAGAAAGCATTTAGCTAGGTGAAAGAAAAAATATTTATCTAAAGGGAGATTATTGAATCTTACCAGAAGTGCCCTCTCTAACATCCCCACTTATTTCCTTTCCTGAGAAAAGTGGCTAAGTGATTAGAAAGTATTTGGTGCTAGTTTTTGTGGGCAAACTTGGATGAAAGGAGGAAACTTCACTCGGTTGCTTGGAATCTGGTGATGCAGCCTACTAAAAATGGAGGCTTGGGCAATGTGTTTCAATGAATCCTCATTGGCAAAATGGAGGTGGTGTTTTCTCACTTATAGGAGGTTTGCTTGGTAGAAGTGATTAAAGCTAAGTTCAGTTTGGCTTCTAATGAATGTCATTCTGGACCATACAATAATTGTCGCTCATGGAGATGGATAGAAAGGAACTAGGCACATTTTGCACAACAAAGTCAATTCAAGGTGGGAAATGGAAAATTAGATTTTATGATAACACCTGGTGTGATGACAGGTCATTGTGGGAGGATTTTCCTTGTATCAACTCCATTGCTAGATCCAATAAGGCTAGTTTACATACTGTTGGAAGCGCAGTCGTAAGATCCAGTGTAGCATCCCTCTCCTTCAAAATGCAAATGATTGGAAAATTAATGATTGCATCCCCTTTCTTGCCAGGTTAGAGCTTGCTCATATTTGGCAGGACTATGATGACTACATAGAAGCTTTTGACGATGAAATCTTTTCTGTCTAAATCCTTTGACACCCACTTGTTGAGGGGGAATGAGATTTTAGATTCTATCCCATGGAAGCATGTCTGGAAAATGAAAGTCTCATGGGTAATTGCTTCCTTCACCAGGGTACTGCTTTGGGAAGAATTTGTATACTGACAACCTTAGGAAAAGGGGAAAATTTTTGGCCAACCAGTGCTTAGAGTGGCAATATGATGGTGAATCACCGAACCATCTTTAGCTATGGCGTTTTGAAACAAGAAGGCCCTGGAATTCTACCCTCAATCTCCTAAGTACTAGACAGGTGAACATGGCTCCATAAAGGATGAATTATGCGCTTAAAATGGGAAACCATCTTTGAAATCCAGAAGAGTTTCCTTCATTTACATTGTTGCTATTTTCTGCATCACATGAAAATAAAGCGGCAAAAGAGCTTTCAAAAGCCCATCATCCCCTTTTATTTCAAAAAATAATCATGACTTAGAACCCGGAAAAGCTTGTTTAGGGCCACCCCATTGGTGATGGCTGTCATTTTGTTGATCTGTTAGATCTTTTTCCTTTGCAGCATTTGTAAATTTTTGTCTATGGGAGGTACATCATTGGTGCCCTTTTAATTGCTTTTTTCTTTTTCTCAAAAAAAAAAAAAGAAAGAAAGATTCATGGTTATCATGGTTTCCATTCAATATATTCATGTTTACTATGCTTTTAGGACACCTGCTTTTTGATGTTGCGTTATTTATTTTCAGTCACCAAAATGCACAAGAAATTTGAAAAATCTAGTTAGGAGCTTAATGTTTACTACATGGCCTTCAAAATTATGTGAGAAATCAACAATCTGGTCTAACAACTCAGTCAATCTGCTGCCTTGATCCTACGTCTACTTTCTGAGGTCAACAGGGCCATGTTTTTGTTTTTCTAGTTTTGTTTTTAGAAACTTTAAAATTTTCATTCTAGGATCCCATGAACGGAATTATCATTTGATTAACCATCTTTTCAGATTCTCTAACGCAAGTCTTCTTCATGCTACAGCTTCAAAATCTCAGGTACCAGTTATGAGAAACTACAGATGTTAGAACAACAATTTTGAAAATTTATAACCCACTGATAAAAGCACAAATTAAAAAACAATAGTCATGTGTTCAAGCCAGGAATTGAAGAAAATGCCATTGCCAAACTTTAAAATGTTAAGAAAATGCATTTGCACAATACCTTCGGCGGAGAAGATGGTATTGGAACATCTGTGGCATTATTCCTTGATTTTGAGGTGAGACTCCTGAGAAAAAGATTGTCCATCATATTCCCCATAATCCTTTGACCTATAGTCTGACTCCGTTGGAAGCTCCCAGATTCAGCATGTTTCTGAGCTCTTCCAGAAGGTGATGGAGTACCTGTAAGTTACAAAAATCCTACCTTTAATATGCCAATGAAAAATTGGTAGTGTCTGGCTGAACCTACGATTATAACAGCCTAAAGGCCATGTATTTACGCTTAGTATAAGAAAGAAGTGGATTCTTGGAGCACTAACCGAAAAATGCAATTATGCAAACAGTAAACCATGGTATTCTACAGTTTTTGAGTACCAAGAAAATCTATCTCATAGAATATAGTCTGGGAAACAAAAGAAAAAATTAACCTTCTGAATGTATTGCAGATTCTTGATTGTGATCCACTGTGGCTGATATATTAGGATTTCCTGCAGTGCCCTGAGCACCAATGGTTGGAGATGCAAGTGGTGATGTCCTTCCATTGCCACTGCCATCAAATTCATGGCTATCCACTTCAGCATAGCTAATGGATTTTTCAGAGGTACTGAACTCTGCATCTCTAGTCAACACTATAGTGTTTTTGGGGTTGTCAAAGCCCAAATCATTGAGTAGCTCCAATGGTTGAGTTGTGTATGACGCATCTCTGGAGATGAAAAAGAATGAGTCCCTACAAAGTCATCACTAAAATGATGAAATTATAAAGGCTACGCACCTTATGCTTTTCAACAACATATCCCAGTCATTCTCACTGAATTGATGCCCTCCAACTTCTATAAGATGCACCAGTGCACCCAAAGAAATTGAAACCACTGTCTGGTCTGTTTTTTTGGCACAATCCAATAGCAAACTCAGTAAAGGAGGCAGCATAAAACACACCTCCTGCATGGAGAACAAGAAGAAATTTCAAGTGATAATCACTTCTGAAAAACTAATGGAAAGATTTCAGGACATAATTCAAATCTCAAATACTACCAAAAAAATTTTGATTTGCAGTTCAAGAATGTTCTTTTTGGCGCTTGACATCTTTCAAGTTTAAGATCCATCCCATCCATCATGCTGGAAAAGTCCTATTTGTTTCAACTTACCACCTCTGGTGTGAATTGCTTTTATAGGAAAAATGATTGTTTTTGAGGATTTGTTATCTTCCTTAAGTACACCACCGTCCTCTCGCCTATCCCCTTTCAGATAAGACATAATTTGTACAGTGGACTTTCAGATAACAGTTAGCTTAGCTTTTCTATCAAAGTCCAGTATTTACTCTAATGCAATCTCAGACTCCCCTAGGACTTGGTTTTGCTGTCAGAGTACAATACTTACTCTCTAAGGCAAACTCAACTCCCCTAGAACTTAGTTTCGCTAAGTCCATGTATTCACTATAAATCCCTCTACAAGAGTATGTTGGAGTTTGATTGGCTGATAGCTTTCAGTATATTTGTTCCTCAATGCCAGAGTCAAATGAACATTTGCTTCTACATTCTCGAATATTTAGTAAAAGGAAAGGTCATAGAGATACTCAAAGACACCCTCATAACAACATTACAGTAGAAAACTAACAGGGAACAGCTCTCTAATATCTTTTGTAGAAAGTTGGAAGACAAAGAAAGCATAACAGTTTCTCTAATACTTGGAAGCATCCCAACTCCGTAACATTATGCATAGGCTTATATTTTCAAATAGAAAGGACTTGATTGACTTATTTTTTTATTTTAAATAAAAAATATAATGTAGTATATTACTATGGGCACCAAGGGCATTCCCGTTCACATGCAAAAGAATTTATATATCTATCAACTTATCAATAAGGTCCCCTAAATCCTCTATTGACTGCAGAGAATGACCCAATAACAACAGGCTTCTATCCGGATCTCTCTCCAACCCACTTCATTACTCTTCCAAAGGCTTCTAACAATCCCCTTGCCCATAGCTTCCATTTTGGGTTCCTGACTACCTACTCATGC